AACCTTACACACATATGTTGCTTTTTAGTAACAATTTTAAATGACAGGAATTTAAGAAAAACATTTAACTAACTTGGCCTTGTTAGGTTCTGATTCAACTGGGATGGATTTAGGGGGAAATTTCTATGATACGAGGAGATGAGAGCTGAGAAATTTTATGACAGAAATAGTAATAATGATAATGATAATAATGGCTTTGAGAACATAGGCATTAAATCGTATTAATAATTAGGGTAGGTGTTTCAAAGCTAATGAGTACCTCAAAACATATTACAATGGGCAAAGTGAATTTGGTCCCAGTGAGAGCTAATCTGTTCTGCTGAAAAATACAAACCCTGCTATTCCACTATTACAGGGCCCAAGGGAACAATTCTATGGAGAACTATGTTAGAGCCCACTGGGGAAAAAGGTGCCTACCCACATAGGTAAATTATCTCCTCTGGGCCAAGCCAGGAATGGGTTCATTCCCTTCATGTGGGTGGACACACTCTTCCCAGGAGGCCATTTTATTTACTGCTTTTTCCTACTGGATCAGGCTCATTTGTTTTTATATCTCAGGTCTACGTGTAATCCCTGCTCACACTGTATATGTTATTACAAAACACCTTTCAGTATGCCACTGTTAAAATGGAGTGCTCTAAACAAATGTTCTCTTAAGGCAATAACTCCTTAATATAAACTGCATTTAATAAAACTTGTAGTGGTTCCAAAAAGAAAAGGGTAAGGCATACTTAGCGAAAATGTCTAGAAGAAATTTGCAATTAATATTTTACAAGACATTTAGATTCCACAGATTCCTCCTAGCTGTTAAAATTTAAGAGTTTTTTCAAAACTGTATTCCTCTCTGTTATTACATCCTTAATTAAATTAATTTATACAGTGAATGCTCTAATGATACTGCTGTAGATTTTCAATCAAAAAGCCTCACTCCTAGAGACAATATGTGTTAAGACCTTGGAAAAAAACATGACATAAGGCAGGGTGCTGTCACCGGCAGAAGGACATTTGGCCCTGACACCTGATTATTGAAAAGGTTTTAGTGGCTTTTCTGTGCCTCAATGAAGGTCTTTTATTTTACTTTACCTTTTAATTGAGCTGAAGTAGGTCAATGAAAATGAAATAAATCTTCCATACTGCCTTTACAAGGGTTTCTTCCTTTCCTGGACATATAATAGTAGACAATGACATATCTACTGAACAACATCACCATTTAGTTTTGCCTATGTGAAACCCTAAATAAAGGAGACTATCTTTAAGCACAATTTGCTAAACCATCAAAGCAGAGGCAACCAAAATTTGTTCAAGAACACAGAAGGCACAGCAGTGGAAATACGCAATCTAATGATGCTGCACCCAACCCAAAGGCTCATTAAGAACCCAGCCTTTGCAGACAGTTAACCACATTCCCCTCAGGCTACAAGTGCATTACTAAACAGGATCTCAAGGTTGTTTCGTGTGTGTGTGTGTGTGTGTGTGTGTGTGTGTGTGTGTGTGTGTGTGTGTGTGAGAGAGAGATGCAAAACTGGTATTCTGTCACAACTGGAAAGGCACAAAAGCATAAAGCAAGTATATACTAATTGCCTATCCACTGTCCATCCTCATAGTGAGACCAATTAGAAGCCTCATCAGGGTGGACCTTAGCTATTTTATCCCAGTGCCTAGCTAAGTGCCTGGCTTGGAGCAAGCATCCAATAATCTTTTGTGATTATTCTCATGAATTATCAGTAATTAATGGGCACTGTACCTAAAATTTAATCTGTAGCTTAAGCATCAAGCAACCTTTTCTAGAGGAAAATTTTCTCAAACCAAGGAAATAATCCCTAGCTTCTCATTCTTGGCTTTCTGTGTGGACATGTTGAATTTCCTCCTTTTATTTGAAGTATTATGTTTCTAGGGTTTATGCTGAACATTTCAGAAGATACAAGATCCAGTATCTTAGTTATAAAGTAAGAGGCAGGCTCCAGAAATGTGTCTCCAATCACTTTGCACTGCTTAGTAAGGCCCTGATTCTTTACCTTAATCCCACCACCCTTCCCCGAACGGCCCATGTAAAGGGTCTCTAAAACTTGATATGAAAAGAAGTATAGTTTTAAATTGAAGCTAAAGAGCAAACACTTTCAACTCCATATAGGCAGTCCTAAACTTGTTTTTCCCCCTGCACTAACCAAAGTCTTTGTTTCCTTCGTGATAGGAAGATAGCACATAAAGGGAAAGCAAATCCCTGAACATTAATGAAGTTGAGTTGCATGCTAAAAGTTCCTCAAGATACAAAACTATCAACTGCAAAAGAAAACTGCATTGAGAAAAGAAAACCAGCACTACTTGATCTTGTTATAAATGGAAAGTTTTGGACACTTTAGGAAAAAAAAAAAGCAGCAAGTGCCTTTTTAATGGATTTTATCCGCAGGAAAATGATTACAACCAGAAAAGCTTTAAAGTGTCAGCTGGTGATTCATTTTTCTTTATTCCTTTTATTTTTATTCAGAAGGAAATTGAAGGCATATGGCAAAGTGCATCATTAATTTCTTATTAATTTCATAATATGAAGGCAACCAGTTAAAATAGTAGTGCTACAACTTTAAATTACCGAACTCACTTGGTATTTAATGAGAGATTTAGCACAGCAGGGGTTCTGTTAAATTAAGTTATGCCTTCACATCACAGTGGGAAAACAGGTGTATATTGGTTTAGAATTATGGAAATGTTGACGAATTCCAACGCTTGTAATCAAACAGCAAGCCTCCCTGTAATTTTTTCCCCCAAGAATATGCATTAATCTTTTATGTCTGGTCCCATTTCTTCCTGTCCACCAAAGGCTCACAGCTGAAAGGCAACCACTTTCATGTTTTTCTTGCAGCTGTTAAGGGTGATGTTTATCAGATAAAGCCAAGAGATGTGGAACTCCATCCCCATTTGCCACATTTGAAACAGCAAATGGAGCAAATGTATATACTGTGAAGGCTATGAGCCTTGCAAATTAGATCTGACTGTTCAAATTTTTGTTTCGTCTTCCTCAAGTAACTGGGTGTAAGAAATGGAATGGCTAAAAAGAAACCAAAAAACAATCTACCAATTATCTTTCTCCAACTTCCATTCCCTTAATAATGGGTCTTCAAAGTCATCACTTCTAAATTTCACAAGCAGAAGTTTTAGGAAGAGGAAAAAAAAGTACACTATTAAAAAATAATTTGGTAGGTGCATTTTGTCTGCCAAGAAAAGGGTCAGAATAAGATACCCCAAACAGAAGCATACTCATCAGCCTTTCTATGCATTACAACATGCCCTGTTCAAATTAACTCCGGGTTTCTGGAATGTGTCTTCACACAGGAACAGGGCATGCTAGGAGCAGTGCTAGTCCAGGGGAGGCATCCAAATTAACCAAGCTTTGCATTCTGTTAAAATATGATGCTATCTGGTATCAAAATATATTATACCTTAAATGGTAAATAATGATTCATCTCAAGTAATTTTTTAAGACACCTAGGAGGAATTTTGTGTGCTAAATATTTTAAAGCATTTATTTTTAAGAGAAGAAATACAAAAGTGCTCTTTGCATTTGATTAGGAGCCTGGAAAATAAAAATTATTGCCTTCGATTGTTGGCGGGGCTACTAATAATTTGCCATGATTGCTTCATTCAGCAATGTGACCTAACACTGCAACCTTCTAGGATTACAATGGAAAACTTCTATTTATATGGAAAATTAAGCTGAAATACTACTACTTTTTAAAAAGTCACTAAGCAAAGCACTTGGACTTAATGAAAGCAGCCTTACCTTACTAAAAATTACTTGGAGGTTTCAAGAAGTAGCTAAATAGGCAGGGATCATTCTGGTACAACATATTTGCTTTGCTTTTCTTTGATTTGCTCTTATGAAAACTAAAGTGGCACGATTCAAGATTAAGGTTCATAATTTACTAGCTGAGTGATGAAAAAAAGCTCAATATTCTGAAAACTTTTTGTTGAGCATCTTGCAGTTATAAATATAAAATTTCAATGGAGCTAGGGTGAATTACACAAGCGTTATCTTTTCTGAGGGTACGGGGTTAAAATATGTATGTGTGCCCATGTTAGTATGCATGTGCATGCACACACTCATTTCAGTACATGAGTACAGAGAGAGATAACTGATATAAAGTTAGAACTGAACCCAGAAAACATTATGGGCATTATTTTATCCTTTACTAAACCAAGTTTCAATACATTTATTATTGTACTGTTTATCCAGTTCCTTCATTAAAACCAATGCATATCATTATGATATTGAATGAACTCATCACTGATATTTGGGAGAAAATCCAAACAGCATAGGGAAATTTATACTTGCATGCAATATGTATGAGTGCCACAAAATCCCTTAAAATAATATATAAGATAAAGCTGCTCTATGCAACATCAGTTCATTTCTAATGTATTGTACTAATCATTGAATATTACTGGGAATGAAATGGAAAAAAATACTGTAAGCTTTGTATTTTCTGTTCTGTATCAACATGAAGCCACAAATTGGACATTAAAACATTGACTTTGTTAACCACCATTGACTGTTTAGAAATCATTAGGAGGCTTAATATTATGGCTGTACAGGGTACATTTTGTTCTTTCAAAAGAAAATCTAAAGACTAAAATTGAAAAGGGGCTCCTGGTGAGTAAAAGCTTTTCCTTTTCCATTTGCTTCACTTGTGTGAATTGGTTTTTTTTTTTCCTTTTAAAATCTTAGCCCACCCAATAGTCTTTGGCAGCTGCTATACCCAGTGGGGTCACTCTGATTTTCTAACCAGGGGACCTACTGTTTGAGTGCTCTTCCCATCAGCATTAATGCCAGCGCTTCGTTATGGGCTGGCCAGCTGGTCTGGCTGCTGTAGGGAACACACGGGTCAGCACACCCCTCAAAAGACCAAAGTCATTTTTGGCACTAAGAACCCATAACTAGAACCTTCAGTTGAAAGGACCATTTTCAAGCAATAAAGTGATTTTGGTACAAAAGTAAACCGACTCACCCCAGGTAAAGTTTTAATATTGTGCAGTGCATTCTGGGCTTCAAGTGCAGCTTTTCTTGTATAAAATGTTACGAAACAACAACCTACAGAGAGAAATGAAAAGATTTTAGAAATTTCTGTGAATGCTTTGGTTAGATATAATGGAGACTGCGGCGAACAAATAATCTACTTAAAAGGATGCACAATTTAAAAATAATAAAGTGCATGAGAACAGTAATAACAACATCTGAAGCATTTACACAGTGCTTTTCATCTAAATAACATTTATTAGCTTTACCCACACAGGAAATCAATTCATTACTCTGTGTACCAACTATCTGGAACAGAGCTCTTCAAGAACGGGGGTGGGAGGTGGTGGTGTGAGGTAAGGTGGGACTTGTCACACAGCAACTACATGAAGACAAGTATTTAATCACAGTAACAAAGCATAAACTTACATGAATGTAATTTTCTTAAATGATATCTCCAGAACATCACATTTTGAAAACACTTTCTAACCTCAAAGGTTTAGACAACTGGATTTTAAGTTTCTTAAAAGTGAGTATATTCTTTTTTATCTGCACCATAGTACATAATGCAAAATTCTTATACACATGACTACTTAATCCCCGTTTGCCAAAATGAAAGGCTGTGTTATAGCCAGTTTAGAAATTAACTTACTATCTGATGGGTATGTGACCAAACACCTCTGGTCTGTGTAGTAAGTATGGCTGTGGCTCACCTCTGGATTCCTCATTTCCAAGAGCCTATGGAGTACCGGCTCAAAGCCTGTGCAAGGCAGGCCAGCAGATACCCTCTTTCTAACCAACTTCCTTCTCCAAAGAAGAGGTTGACACCTTAGACCATTCCTTCAGTGTCCTGAAGGGTAACTGTCCCTTCTTCAACTTACAAAGACGCTGGTTAACAATAATCAGCATATAGTTTCTTAGCACTGCCAGGCTTGGGGAAGGGAGTAAATAAAAACTTTAGAACGTTAAATTAAAAAAGGTACTACGTTTGATCTAGGCTGTCTTTGGTTACTTGAGGATGAGGAAAAAATGGAGTGAGGCCCTCTGCAAAACTATATATACTTCAACTCAGCTTTAGGAGAGGATCCTAATGCATGGAGCCAGAGAGGGGTGGGATGAGCTTAGAGGGAGACTCCTGCCACAAGTGCAGAAAGCCTGAGAGAAACGCACAGCACTAAGGCATCAGTATGGGCTGCATTTAAGGAATGATGCAAAATCAACAAAAAGCAGAACAACAACAACAAAAAATACAGTTGCAGGCAGGGAGTGGGCACTGCAAGGCATCAGAATTTTAGTCACACACTAGCATTCTGACTTCTCAAAATATAATAATCACTCAGTGGGACAGCGGAAAATCAAGCCTGACAGCATTTATGCAACATTCTTAAAGATATCTAAGATGTTGCCTTCTCAGTTGAAAAAAAAAAAAAAAGTAGGAGTTTTTGTCTTACATTTGGTTCAGTCAGAGTCACCAAGATTAAAATATTTAAAACCTTCACCTTTTGGACAGAGTATGACCCTAGCTTCTTGGCATTTAAAAAATGCCATGCATCCAAGGATCAAAACCCCTTGAAATGTGTCATTTGAATGATGGAGGGAAATTAAAATTATGAAGTTTAAGAATCACAGATCTTTTTCTCTGTTTTTCTTTTCTTTTCTTTTTTCAGTACCAGGGATCAAACTCAGAACCTTGGCCTTGCAAGGCAGGCACAGCGCCACTGAGCTAAATCCCTGGCCTGAGACTATTTTTATTTGATCTTTACTTCAGCTATTTTGATTTTGTTGACAAAAGTCACTTGGCCAGTTTTCTTGACAGTAGACCTTTTATCCAACTGATTAACTTAACTAGTTATTTGAGCTTCCTTGGCATAATGAAAGTCTTAGAAAAGCTGTAATTACTTATAATTAGGGAATAATTTTAAACAAGAAATTCCCAATTTCTAGTAACCGATCATAATAATTTTTAGAAGGAAAAATATAAAACATGCATCACTAGGTTTAGTACAAAAAGAAAAACAGGAAAAGCTTTCTACATGCCTCTAGCAAAAACTTTCAGTAAGTTCTTTCATTCTCCTAAGCTGATATGGTTGGCTTCCTGATAAGGATGTAATTGAGAAGTTCTAAATTTCAACTTAATGAATAATCAAAGATTCAAAAAAAATAAAATCTGACCCTTTCAAGAAGGTGACTTTTGAGGGGTGTGATCTACTTTAAAAATAGTGAGCAGTGTTTGCTTGGCTGGAATGAAGGCAATTAAGTAAGAGAAAAGCTCAGGAAATGAAAAACATGCTCAGAGTCAAGAACGAAAAAGCTGCTGGGTGTGGTGGTGCAAGCCTGTAATTCTGGTACTTGGGAGATTGAGGCCAGCATGGACTACATAGTGAGTTCAAAGCTGAACTACATAGTGAGACCCTGTCTCAAAAAAAAAAAAAAAAAGCTTAGGGTCAAGAATGAAAAGTACAGATTACCTAAAAGAACAGGAAAATGAAAAGGGATTGAAAATGGGAAGCTAAATACAGTGAGAAGACTAAAGGAACCATGAATGATATGATGATGTAAACTGAGGGAACCGTGTGCCTTGGCGTTGGGCCAACTTGACTGTGCCTTGGCGTTGGGCCAACTTGACGAGCTCTGAAAAACAAAGCAGTCTTAGGAGTAAAGGAAGCTCCCCTACCTTGGTCACTCAAACTCAATTCCTACTACTTCTCACTGCCTAATGGCCCATGAGGACCATCCATCCACATAAGTATTAAAACGCTGCTTCTGGGGAAATGAGACATTTAATTACTTTTAGTTATCTACCTTAGTGTGAATTTGACTAAAATGCTTTCTTCTTAGAAAAGTTTCTTTTATTGGTGGTTTTTGATTTTTCTTTCTTCTCTTTCTTTTCTTTTTTTTTTTAAGGAAAGGTAAGTTTGAAGCAGGTATCTGAGCAGTTATAGGCAAGCAGGAGAGGAGGGGAAAGGAATGAAGAGGTGCCTAATTACAGAAGAGGAGATAATACTCTAAGTCTCCAGCTCTTCCAGAGACTAATCATTACATTTCCTTTTCAAATGACGTAGAGCTCATAACCCTTTGACTACATATCCAGTGAAACAAATTCTGTAAGACTGTACCAAGATAATCTCTAGTTTCAGTGTAGCACAAGGGAGACCATCTTGGGTAACATGAGGGACAGGCTTATTCACTGTTCATTTACCACCAAGCAACAGCTCAGTTCCATGAGTGCTACACTTGGCAAGCAAACTTGGAACCTTGGTGTGAATTCAAAAAGGTGTCCAGGGCTGGGGATGTAGCTCAGTGGCACCACACCTTCCTGGCAAGCAGGAAGTCCTGAGTTTGATCCCCAGTACCTAAACAAAACAAAACAAAACAACATCTTAATTGGACACAGCCCCTTACCACACACAGACCATGGCTTGGTGAGCAGAGTCCAAGCTACATTCCCGCTCCTATTCACAGCAGAGGCTGGGCACCCTCGTACAATTAGCAACTGGCACAAAGGCAGGGGTCCTGGGACACAGAGAAAGACTGAGAATGTCGCCTCCAAAACGTTTCTTTTGGTTTCATAATTTGGTTCTTGAATGACCTAAGAGAAAATATCTCACATTCTTTGTGCCTTAGTTAACCCTAGTTTCATTACCTTTAATCAATGAATAACAACCAGGTCCGAAATCCTTCACCCCATCCCAAAGAACCTATGTGGATATTTCATTCAGAACACATTTAAAAATTATTCTTAACTTATATGCTTAAAAATGACTTACATTTGGTATGCATAATAGTTCACTTTAAAAAAGTGTTTGACTGGGTTATCCTAAAATTTGCAGAGCAATAATACTGACCTCCAAATTTAGAGTCATTTTAGATGCAGCAGTTAGTATTGCTCTTCTAAAGGGACTCTGGTACATTTCCAGAATCAGGCTGTATCTGAAAGAATGTTGGTTTTATGAGGACTGACCCAAATGCCAGTTACAGTTACTTTTAAAAAAGTCTATAGTGCATGATTTCTCTTATGTGAGAAACCCAAAATGCCAGGGAGCTACTAGAGACCCCAGAAAACCCATGAAGGCTCAACAAGCATGAAATTTTCTTTCTTGCTGGCCCTAACTACAAGTACAGCTGTTGTGGGAACCACCTGTCTCTCAGATTTCCCCATGCCAGCTGCAACTCAGGTCTGAAATACACCGGATTCATTTCCAGGTCAGCTGTAACGCCAGATGGCTCAGCCTTTGGATTCAGGGGACATGCCTACCACCTTCTGCAGGCTCTGTTTTAACATCAGTGTGAGGTGGGTGGTTAAACATCTACAATACCCAGATGTTCTTCAGTGGTCAGTGGCTGCCACACACATCAGGGGGTGCCAGCCCCTCAGGCCTGTGCTCATGCGTGGGATCCACCCTTTTCGGGCTGTCCATGCAGTACAGAGAAAAGAGCTTCGCTCCACGTAAATTCTCATCAGCAACAACAGAGTAGTGACTGGCCAGGGGCTCTGGGGCCAGCGGATGCTGATGCAGGCTGATGAGTCAGGTCCTTCAGCAAGCCTCGACCCTCCTGTTTCTGCTTAATGCTGGTAACTCTTGCGGCTCCACATCTTCCTGGTTTGCTCATGTGACACTGTCCAATAAGAGCTTACACTTTACAGTTTGTGCCGCCCTTATCCACACATTCAGGAATTTCTGCCAGGGGCAGCAGCCAAATTAGAAAAGACAAATGTGATGTCCCAGCACCAGGTTACTTTCTGACATTCACACAACAACTTCAATAATCCCCTGGGTTAATAAAAGCTTTGGAAGTTGAAACAAAACAAAAAATCCCAATCGTCCCTCATGTGTCCATTTATGAACCTCCCTCACATTACTCCTAACCGGGAATTAAAAAACTCGCACGTGAAATAGGTACACAGGTAAAACTTGAGAGCTGATAGTCTCCAGTACCCATAGAACGTAACATTTCCACTGGTAACTCCCTTTGCTGATCACCAGAAGTTTCTCATGACTCTGCACGTACTTCAGGGGGGCAATGCGTTCAAGCCTATTGGCCACTAGCATCGCACTGTGAATTAATTCTGCTGT